GATTTTCCAGGCAAGAGTACTGGAGTGGGTTGCCATTTTCTTCTCCAGGGGATCTTCCCGACCCAGGGATCAAATCCAGGTCTTCTGCACTGCAGGCAGGCACTTTACCATCTGAGCCACCAGGGAAGCCCATAATTAGAAGAGTGAGTTGATTAAATGGAGTTTATTTCAAGGTATTAAGATTAACAAGCACCTACCTTATGGCAGCCAGGGCTTCTCATGTGGCTCAGTGGTAAACAATCTGCCTGCTAATGCAGGAGGCATGGGTTCAATCCTTGGGTAGGGAAGATCCCCTGGAGAATATGGCAACCCACTCCAGAATTCTTTCTTAAGAAATCCCATGGACAGAGGGGCCTGGCAGGCTACAATCCATGTGGTAACAAAGAGTTGGACACGACTGAGAGATTGAGCATGCATGCACCTTATACCAGTTATTGAACTGGATTCTAGGAAGATACAAGGATGAAAGACACAACTCCTGCCCTTGGGCTGGTGGGCAGAGAATCGAGATATGTGTGAAAAGTGCTGAGAAAGAGCATCAGGTGCCACAGGAGTACAGGGGAGGAGCCTTGATCCAGCATGGGTGTCAGGGGCACTCCCCAAGAGAGGTGAAACCAGAATGAAACTTGAATGATCTCATCAGGCTTGAGGCAGAAGGAAGGGTGTTTGATGCATAGGAAACAGTGCATTCAAAGGTCAGAGGACACAAAGGCACTTCAGAGGAGAACTACAATTACTGTAGTTAGGATGGGGAAAGTGGCCATAGATGCGACCAGTAAGGAGGGCTCTGTCTGCCAAGATAAGAATTTATTACTGTGTTCCTGAGGCACCAGGGAGCTATTAAAAGGCTCAACATTGAAGAGAATGATTGGAAAGGGGAGGGAGATGAAGGCCCCTCAACAGGCTCTTAGGTTTGGAAGGTGAGACATTCAAGTTCAGTTCAGTTCAGTCACTCAGTCGTGTCCGACTCTTTGCAGCCCCATGGACTACAGCATGCCAGGCCTCCCTGTCCATCACCAACTCCCGGAGTCTACTCAAACTCACATCCATGGAGTCAGTGATGCCATCCAGCCATCTCATCTTCTGTCGTCCCCTTCTCCTCCTGCCCTCAATCTTTCCCAGCATCAGGGTCTTTTCAAATGAGTCAGCTCTTCGCACCAGATGGGCAAAGCACTGGAGTTTCAGCTTCAACATCAATCCTTCCAATGAACACCCAGGTCTGATCTCCTTTAGGATGGACTGGTTGGATCTCTTTGCAGTCCAAGGGACTCTCAAGAGTCTTCTCCAACATCATAGTTCAAAAGCATCAATTCTTTGGCGCTCAGCTTTCTTCACCGTCCAACTCTCACATCCATACATGACTACTGGAAAAACCATAGCCTTGACTAGACAGACCTTTTTTGGCAAAGTAGTGTCTCTGCTTTTTAATATGCTATCTAGGTTGGTCATAACTTTCCTTCCAAGGAGTAAGCATCTTTTAATTTCATGGCTGCAGTCACCATCTGCAGTGATTTTGGAGCCCAAAAAATAAAGTCTGCCACTGTTTCCACTGTTTCTCCATCTATTTCCCATGAAGTGATGGGACCAGATGCCATGATCTTAGCTTTCTGAATGCTGAGCTTTAAGCCAACTTTTTCACTCTCCTCTTTCTCTTTCATCAAGAGGCTTTTTAGTTCCTCTTCATTTTCTGCCATAAGGGTGGTGTCATCTGTATATATGAGGTTATTGATATTTCTCCAGGCAATCTTGATTCCAGCTTGTGCTTCTTCCAGCCCAGCATTTCTCATGATGTACTCTGCATATAAGTTAAATAATCAGGGTGACAATATACAACCTTGACGCACTCCTTTTCCTATTTGAGACATTCAGAGCTGGTGCTAATTGTATGAGGTGCTGAATGAACATTGGTACAGGCGAGACAGGCAGGGGGAAGGGGACTTAGGAGACAAGATCAGAAGGTACACTAGGCGCAGGGTAGAGACCAGAGTAGGGGGAATACAGGGAGCAAGGAGGGTTTGATAAAAAGGATAACAGAACTGCTCTATTCCATCTAATTGACCAGAGAGACACAATGGATTCACGGTTTCTGAGAAAATAATTACATTCCATCAAACTGGACAGATCAAAAATACTCTTCACTGACTCCCCTGGTGGTCCAGGGGTTAAGAATTCGCCTACCAACGCACAGGACACAGATTCGATCCCTGGTCCAGAAAGATCCCACATGCCACAGAGTAACTAAGCCTGTGCACCACAACTACTGACCCGGCATGCTGCAACTACTAAAGCCTGTGCTCTGCAGTGAGAGAAGCCACCACAATCAGAAGCCCACACACCACAGCTAGAAAAAAGCACATGTGCAGCACAGCCTAAATAAATAGATACACAAACTCTAAAAAAAAATTACTCTCTAGAGTATTGAAGTTTATCACACCATGAAGGGAACAAACAGGCCAACTGTAGACTAGTTTATCAAATTCTGGAACTGTAGAACTGGAGGACACCTCTTAAAGTTCAGATAAAAGGAGAGAGCATGAAGTCATCACACTTATTTTTCTGAAATATTATCTTATTTCATTACCCAAGGCTCCCCTGGTGGCTCAGATGGTAAAGAATCTGACTGCAATGCAGGAGACCTGGGTTTGACCCCTGGCTCAGGAAGATCCCCTGGAGAAGGGAATGGCAACCCACTCTAGTATTCTTGTCTAGAGAATTCCATGGACAGAGGAGCCTGATGGGCTATAGTCCATGCAGTTGCAAAGAGTTGGACACGACTGAGTGACTAACACTTTCACTTTCATCTTCACCCAAGGCTCAAAGCCCTTCAGATATTCCACAAGATGGAGGCAACACATCTTTCCTGTCTTCAGCATATCTTCCTCTGCTCCAGCCAAGAGGAACCACACAGACTGCCTGGGACTACCTACAGCTTTTGAACTTTACCTCTCTGCTTGCCAAGAACCCTCTGTGCCTGCTTCTCCAAATATCTTAATCCTTCTGGTACTTCAAGGTTCAGCCGACATCTCATCTCTTCTGGAAAGTCTTCCTTCATCATCGAATTGAAAGGAATCTCTTCCTTCTCTACATTATGACATACCTGATTGTCTCTACTACTTATTACACATTCATACACTGTCTTGCATTGTTACCTTTTTATAATCCCTGTACCCTCTCTAATTAGCTGACAAACTTTTTGAGGTCGAGCATCTCTTCCTGAAAAACAAACAACCCCAAAATTCAATGGCTTAAAATATCATCAGTTTTACTTTATCCCTTGGTTTCCTGTTCAGGAATTCAGGCATAGCCTCAGTTGGGCAGTTCTTCTGTTCCATGTGAAGACTACAGAGGTCTATAGAGGTCATTACATAGGAGTCAGTTGATGAATAGACTACTTTTGAGGGGACAAGGTGGTTTCACTTTCACGTCTGGTCCCTTTGCTGAAAGATTGGGCTCAGCTGGGCATGTTGACTAGACTACATATAGACATGGCCTTTTCAGCATGATGGCCTCAGGGGAGTCAAACTTTTACCAAGGTGGCTCAGGATCACCAAAGTGAGTGCTCCTTTAAAGGGCTGAGTAGAAGCTGCAAGGCTGCCTATGACTTGACCTTTGAAATCCTACAATTTCTCTTTTACTACATTCTGTTGGTCAAGCAAGTCACTAAGGCCAGCTCAGATTAGAAAAATTAGACTCCACCTTTTAATCATTTTTTTCCTTTCCAGTAGCAAAAAAATATGAAACCCTCTTTATTCTACCACAAAACATTATCCTAGGGACCTAGGCAAGAGATTCATGGGGTCGCAAAGTGTCATACACGACTGAGCGACTGAACCGAACTGAACTGAAGGCAAGCAAAGTCCCTGGACCTCAGGGGGTCCTACACTTTGCAGTGCTAGTTTTAATTTTTTCTAAGTCTTCCTTAAGTGACTGGGATCATTCTAATCTGCTTGTCTAGGATTGTGTCTTGTCTTCCATCCCTCCCCCCCCCCGCCGCCCCGCCCCAATATCTGTGCCTGGTAATAGTAGGTAATCATTAAGAAATAAATATTAGAATAAATGGGCAAGTGTTAAGGAAAGAATGTACATGGGTGGACAGTCTCTTAGGACACAAAACTGGGTGGGATCCAGGATACAGGAAAACAGAAGCATCAACTTGTCAAAGGAAAAGGAACATCTCCTCCCTTGGGAGGAACTGTAGATAAGTCTGGGAGGATGGAAACGGATTAGGTCTACGTGGTGTCCGAATCCTTCAAGTGTCCGAATCCTTCAAGTCCTAACTCAAATGTCGCCTCCTACATTATCTTTCCTGAATCTCCAATTGGAGTCGACTCTAACTCGCTTGATGTCTTTAGATCGTCTACCCTTAGACGTTTATTTGTGCACACATCTTATTTCCTTTCCTATACCGAGACCTCTTTGAGGACAAGAAGAACCGGTTTGCCCCACACCATATGTGATACATGGTAACCGCTCATTTACTCTGGGTTTTATTAGATGAAAGTGGTGGGGGGGCGGGGGAGGCGAGACAGGCGATAGTTGGGGGGCGAGACAGGAGACGCTTGCACCAGAGACTCCAGCAAAGAGAGAAATCTCCAGACACACAAATAAATAGTTTAACACGAAGCCAAGCAGTCCCAGCCTTTCTCCAGCAAAGAAAAGCTGTGGTCCGCTGACCTACAACCTTGCTCTGAGGACCCCACGCCGATACACTGAGACTGCCCTTACCAATGCCTGACTCAATGCTGCAGACAGCCTCTTGCCAAAACCTATACTTCCTCGTCCCTCATCTGAGTCAGAACCTCTGATTACGCTTAGCCTTCTTCAGGCCTCTTTATTCGTTCCCCTTCTCCTTTCTCGCAGGAGCCACCAGGATGGCGCGCGTTGGGACAGCCCTAGCGGGCAGCGGAGGAGGGTCCTGCGACCGGAAGCCGGAAGCCGGAAGGGGGGCTGTGAGGACGTGTTTCGTGGAAGCCGGAGCGGGACCCGGCGGGGCCGGCAACATGGAGCCGCTGTACCAGCAAACGCACAAGTGAGGGACGCGTCGGGCATGGGCTGGGACGAAGCCAGGCTAGGCGAGCCCTAGTCCCCTGGGCTGGGGCCTCGGTCGTCTGCCAGAATGGAGGCCTAGTCCTTCCGTCCGGGCGCTGCCGTGGGGACCAGCTCGGAAGGGCTCAGTTTTTGGCCGTGATGCCCAGGTCTGCGGCGGCCGGAGGGTCCGACCTGGTGCCCGGCGACATTGGGCCGAATGCCTTCCGGGATCTCCGAGGCCGTGACTAGCTGCTGGGTAGAAGGGAAAGTCATATTGTCCAGCTCCAGCCAACTCTGTGGTCCGGATTGCTAGAACCGGTGGGGACTGAGGGCCCCAGCACATAGGCGGTTACTGTTTAGTTGGAGAGCCAGGGTGTTCGAAAGAAAGGTCTAACATGGGGCACCAAGAGATGGAAGGTAAATGAGCATTACCAACAGGATCTCCTTAAGCAATTTAGGAGTATCCATCACTGGGCTAAAGTCGTCAGAAAACGTTTAATTAATGACTCACAGCTCTTAAATGATATCAATACTTAGTCTTGATTGGCCCAAACCTTATTGCTGCTACGCTGTGATTTTTATTTTCTCTTTTATTCTGATCTTGGTTTACACTAAAAGACCATATTTTTCTGATAAAAGAAATTGCTCAGAATATCTGGTTCCAGGTTACCTTTAAAGAAGGTGAATTTTGGTTTAGCTTCTCGTAAAATTCCTTGGTAGTGTTCCTTATTCATACTGCTCAGCGTTTTAGGAGCTTGCCGAAATACGTAATTGAGTAGGGAAATAAGATCATACCTATCCTGTTTGGGGGGAAAATTTTTTATGAGTTATCTTTTATTATGGTCAAACATAAATAACATGAAGTTTACCTTTTTAAAGCTAACCATTTGATTTTTAATTAAGTTTCCAGTATCATGTAATTTACTATTTAAAATGATAATCATTTCTAAGCTACAGCTCAGCAGCATGAAGTACAGTCACAGTGTTGTGTAACCATCATTATTTATTTCCTGAACTTTTTCATTATCCCAAACAGAAACTCATGTACCCATTAAGCAGTACTCCCCCAATTCTCCCCAGGTCCCTGGTAACCTGTTCTGCTTTCTGTTTCTGACTTTTCCTATTCTAGATATCTCTTATGAGTAGAATAATATATTTATCCTTCCGTGTCTGCCTTATTTCACTTAGCATAAGGTTTCCAAGGTTCATCTGTGTCATAGCATGTATCTGTTGTTCCTTTTATGGCTGTATAATATTCCTTTACAGAGTTTTACACACACACACACTCCTCTACTGTTATCCATTCCTCTACTGATCGGCACTTGGGTGGAAACACACACACACACACACACACACACACACTCCTCTACTGTTATCCATTCCTCTACTGATCGGCACTTGGGTGGTTTCCACCTTTTGACTATTGTAAATAATATTGCTGAGAACACTGGTGTACAAATGTCTGTATGAGTCTCTGTTTTCAGATTTGTTTGAAATATATATGTACTTAGACCTGTCCTATTCTGACACCTTTCAACTTAGTGTAGTTTTGTGCCGATGAAAATTCGTAAAATCGTACCACCAAGGCCTGGGAAAGAAAGAAAATGGGAACCCACCTCTCTAATGAATTCACAATAAAAGAAATACTTTAGAGCACTAGAATAAGAGGAAGATGATCCTCTTGTTTCATTTTCTAATTTTGTGTTTCATTTATTTTTCATTAAGTTACTGTTTCATTTTCTACTTCTTTTTACTTGATTGATTCAGCGTTTGGTTTGGACAGGTGAAAATGTAGAGCCTACTTTGTAATAGTATTGAAATGGCAGAATTAGTCTTATGGTATTATATGAACCCTCTTCTCATATAAAAATTATAGGAAGGACAGACAAGGGACTTTAAAAGCTGGATCTGTGAGTCAGTTGGAAAAGAAATGAAGCAGGAAATTATGCCCATGTTACTAAGAAAGGGCAGATCCTTTACAATAACCAGGCTCAGTGGACTAAGTAATGCTTTGATCTCATGTATAGTCTCATCTAGTTAGCTAATTTGATTAAAGGATATTCCTAAGGAGGTTGCAACCCATTTTATTTTTAAGAATAATTTTATTCACAGTCTCATGCTACTTATTGCTGGTGCAGCAGGTGGCTGATCACAGAGTAAACTCGGAAGCTCAGTTATATGTAAACTTAGAGGAGGAATTCTAAACGGTGTCCCAAACAAGATTTGTGGGACATAGATGAACTCCTTACCTACGCAGGCCTCCAACAACCTACCCTCAAACTCTATAGACCCTTAGACTCTATAGCAGAGCTCACCAACTTTTCCTGTCAAGAGCCAGATAGTAAATATTTTAGGTCTTACAGGCCATATGGTTTCTATGGCAGCTATTCAGCTCTCCTGTTATTAGTGCACAAGCAGCCTTTAGACAACGTGTAAACAAATGGATGTGATTGTATTCCAGTAAAACTTTATTTACAAAAACAGACAAGGGACAGGATTTGACCAGCCACTGCTAGGCCGCCTACTATGTAGTCATTCGTTTATTCAGTGAATATTGATTGAGCACCTGCTATGTGTTAGGCACCCAGTGCGGACAGTACAGCCCTGCCCTCAGGAAATTGACTTTGTTTTGCGCTGCAGTATATTCATCATCATCATTACGATTATTATTATTGGTGCAGTATGTTCTGATCTGCCTCCTTTCCCCTCAAGGACTGAAACAGGACTGAGGATTCTGGTTCTAGACCTCATCACCTTGTTTTCCTCACCTGTAAAATAAAAGTTTGGGGCTGATTAAACTGTAAGTCTCCTTCCAGTTCCATAACACTTGTGATTGAGTGTCTTAAAAAGGAAACAGAATCCTGTGTGTATCTGCAGTTAAATTTTGGAATTGCAGAAATTAATGATTGCAGCTGAACTGATACAGCAGTAACTGAGCATATTAATTTTACTGGAACTTTGAACCCAGTTTGTGGTTATCTCTTACTGTGTCCCTGAAAGTACATTGGAATTATATCAGCATTTTAAAGTTGCATATCTTGAAAATTCCTGAACATTCGGGGGAAAAAAACAGATGAAAAGCAGGTTAAACATTTTACACTTAAATAATACTGTGTTAGGGTGAACTTTATAGAGGAGCTAATAGCCAGGCTTCTATTTTTGAGATCCCAGTGCTTGTAAAGGTGCCCATATTTGTCCAGGATCATTCAGTGCCCTGGACCTTACTATCACTAGAGATTCTGATTCAATAGGTTTGGAGCACAAGAAGCTCTATTTTTAACAAGCTCTCCAGGTGGTTTTGATGAACAGCTGGGTTTAAAGACTGTTACCTTATCTCAAGACCAGTTTTTCCTTTTTTTTTTTTTTGATTTTGCCTTCTGATGAGAGGCTAAATATAGTGAAGGCACAGTGGGTGAGGTGAAAGTGCCCAGATCGTTCCGCTACTTTTAAATAAAGCAAGCAAAGTAAAAACAACAGACTTCCCTATGGTGCTGTGTGGGTTACCACAGCAGTTTCATATTGCCTTTGGATCTATGACCCCTAAATAATTATGATTATCAGTGCCCCATTTTAGAGTTGAGGACACTAAGGCACCAAGGAATTAAATGAACTTGTTCAGTGCCCCTCAGCTACTGCATAGTGGAACTCGAACTCCAACTCAGGTCTTTTAACTCTAAAACCCTGTTTCCTGCTCGAGTTATGCAGAAGCAGTATGTGTGCAAAGTGGGTGTATATGATGGGGGTCGGGTAGTTACCTGGACTTAAATTTTTTTTTTAATTTGGTTGTGCCGGGTCTTAGTTGTGGCATGTGGGCTCTTCCATCTTCGTTGCTGCATGTAAACTCTTAGTTGTGGCATATGAACTCTTAGTTGTGGCGTGTGGGATCTAGTTCCCTGGCCAGGGATCGAACTCAAGCCTCTTGCATTGGGGAGAGTGGCATCTTAGCCACTGGACTACCATGGACTTTTAAAAAGCAAGTCTGTTTTCAAATTCTTCCTAGCGACCTCCCTGGTGGTCCAGTGGTTTAGAGTCTGCCTTGCAGTGCAGGGGATGTGGGTTCGATCTCTGGCCGGGGAACTAAGATGCCACGTGCTGTGGAGCACCTAAGCCCACACTGCATAACTAGAAGGTCTGTGAGCCCATGCAACCAAGACTGGACGCAGCCAAATAAATAAGCAAGCTTTATTTAAAAAAAAATTCTTCCTAGATCTTCTACAGACATTTTTTAAAAAACTCAGCAGCAATGACACTTGTTTATTTGCTACTGGGTCTCTGCTTGGTTATGTTTTCACCCATGCCCACCATGAACCCCACACAAGTCAGGACTAGGACTTCTGATTTCTAGTGTCCACACTCCCATGTCAGATTTGCATACCAACTGTTCCTTATTGCTTCAAATGTGTTGTCTGAATTCCCAGTTCCATGTAAAACATATTTGCCACTTTGCATATAGTAGTTCTCGCAATGCCATTCATCCTTGCTCTGTTTTCATTTATTTCCTCGGGCCTGGCATGTGGAGATTGGTATCACTTTATTGGCTCTAATCTTTTCTTGTTCATGTAAAGCAAAAAGAGATTGGTTGGGAAAAGTCACGTTTCGCTGCAATTTAATATCCATTTTTGCTTAGAAAATAGTAACAGCCAGCTGATGAGTGGTTATAGGATTTCGTGGGTATTGACATCATCTCTTCTGCTGTTGTTGTGGAATTTAAGAATTGAAAATGACTGGCAAGATCTTCCATTTCAGTTCACTTTGGTCAGGAAGACCCTTAATAAAGCCCAAGACAGTTCATGTGCTCTGTGTGTAAACATCCCAGAGCCCTTTTTCCCCCTCTTCTTCGACAGTTCATTCTCAGTTTTTCCTTCTGTGTTCAGCTGACATCTGTCATCTTGAAATTTGTACCCTTTGGTTCTGGGGCTCCCTTAAGGGGGCTTCCCCAGTGGCTCAGTGGTAAAAATCTGCCTGCACTGCAGGAGACGTGGGTTCAATCCCTGGGTAGAAAGATCCCATGGAGGAGGGCATGGTAACCCACTCCAGTATTCTTGCCTGGGAAATCTCACGGAGTCCATTGGATCGCAGAGAGTTAGACGCGATTAAAGCAACTGAGCACGCATCCTCACACTCCCTTAAGGAGCAGCAACAGAGAACAAGCCCACTCCTCTTCCTGTCATCTCTAGATACTTGAAGAGCCCCAGCTGCCCCATTTTAATTTAGTTGTTTTTTTCCTTTCCTTTCTTAAAGGATCATTATCACTAGCTCTTTTGGCTGTTCCTCTTTGCAACTTGACTTCTAAACTTGCCCAGTCATCTTGCTCATCTCCCATTGGGGGAAATCTTGACTTGGTAGGGTTTCTTTAGCAAGTGACCCAAACCTGAATGCCATTCTGTGTTGTGCATTTGACTTTTTAAAAAAATCTTAAAATGCTTTTTATCCCCAACAAATTTTATTTTATTCAGTTCAGTTGCTCAGTCGTGTCCGACTCTGTGTGACCCCATGAACTGCAGCACACCAGGCCTCCCTGTCCATCTCCAACTCCTGGAGTTGACTCAAACTCATGTCCATTGAGGCAGTGATGCCATCCAACCATCTCATCCTCTGTCGTCCCCTTCTCCTCCTGCCCTCAATCTTTCCCAGCATCAGGGTCTTTTCAAATGAGCCAGCTCTTTGCATCAGGTAGCCAAAGTATTGGAGTTTCAGCTTCAACATCAGTCCTACCAATGAACACCCAGGACTGATCTCCTTTAGGATGGACTGGTTGGATCTCCTTGCAGTCCAAGGGACTCTCAAAAGTCTTCTCCAACACCACAGTCTAAATGAAAAACATTCGTATTCGCTTTGTGGTTCAATATCCTAACCAGTCACTGGAGCGCAGAATTTTGTGCAAATTTCATAATCATAAGCTGATTTTTAAAAAAAATACCAGAACAGAATATGGAGCCAAAGGCAGGCCTGTGATACAACCTGGAAATCTTCCCCAGGACCCCTTGGGAACCGTTGTTATGCCTGCCAGAGGTCCCTCATCCTTAAATTTTAAAATATTTGTCAATCACATGGGAGAAGTGTGATGCTATTACTTTCAGTATACATTTTCCTGATTTCTGGAAGAGTGTTTATTCATATATGTTTTTTGTCCATTTGGATTTCCTTTTCTCTCAGTTGCCCTTTGCCCATTTTAAAAATTGTTTTGACTTTTCCTATTGATATGTAGTAGTTCCTTATACATTCAAACATATTCCTTTGTTACCTGCTGCGGGTGGCTTCCAGTCTCTGCCTTTTTTTTTTTGTTCCAGATGTGCCTTTGGTGTAAAAAGGTTTTGTTTTTGTTTTTTACTGTGGTCAGATCTATCAGTCTTTTCTTTTGTGATTTGTGGGGTTGGGGGTAGTTTTGATTTTTGTCTTGTTCAAGAAATCCTTACTTAACCTTAAGTCATAATATGCACACCTTGAGTTTATCTTTGTGTATTACACAAGGTGTCTTTTTTTCACATGGTTAACGATCTGAGCCATCAGCATTTGTTGCAGTCCGTTCCTTTCCCGCTTCCATTAGAAATTTGCCTCACTGCCCACGTCCAGGCCTTCAAGGGAAGTCCTCATTCTCTTTTTCCATCAGCACTGCCATTCAGTACTCTCTGGCTGTTTTCGTCATTTCCCTGATCCAGGTGTCAGTTTCTTCAAGTTGCTGTCCTACATCTGCCTCCATATCTCCATGTGTCTCCATTCTAAAGCACCTGGACTTACCTTCCTGAAGTAGCGACCTCGTCCCTCAGACTCTAGGAGTGATTTCTGGTTGCCTGTCAGGACCTTGGGTCTTGCCCAGGAACCTCTGAGGGTCTGCCCTTGCTTCTGGAACCATGGGTCCTGTTTTGAGACCACAGTGAAGCCCTGGAAAAGACTTGAGACAAGTTCAAACCAAATTTGGGCTCCTGGCTTGCGTTGGTAAATTTGGGGTCACAGTTTGTGGTGCTCACGGTGGAGGATGGTTGCTGACATTTCTTCAAGGCCTGGAGATGATAGAAGAGCTCACCACCCCCCGCCCCGCTCCTGTGACTCTCTGTGAAAAGACCAGAAGCCCCAGGATTTATCACAGAGGACTGCTTGGAAGGGCTCAGAGGGTGACTTTGGCCATGCCCTGGGAAGCCATCGGGAAGTGCCCTGGGCCTGGTGTCAGGACTGGCCAGAGGCCCCGGTACAGTGCTGTGTTTCCATAATTGCCTTCTATTGCCAAGGAAAGAGGTTTACCAAATAGGAGATCCCTGTCTCTCTGGGCCTTCCTCTATGGCTCCCTCCCACTAATCCGCCTCCTCCCCTTCTTCCCTGTGACCCCAGCTCTCAGGCATGCCAGCCTGCTGGTCACCCATGTGACAGGACTGGCAGGCCTTTTTGCACATCATTTTGTCCACATTTTCCTTTACCAAATCACATTTCGAATTCCCTTTGCCCACAGAGCTGCCCCCAGCTCAGTCTTCTGTTTTCTTTGCCTTTACTTAGCACTGGTGCTCAGATCTTTCTTTTTGTTTACGCTTGTGTGTGTTAGTGTTCTCTTAAATCTTGGGACTTTTCACGTCTATCTGGCCTGTCGTTCCTAATTATACTGTTTCTCAAGGACAAGAATTCTATCTCTCTTGCCCTTTGACTCTCTCTACTACAGAGCAGTACTCAGCACATTGGGTCAAAGAACAGAGAGTGGGATTGGCCAGGTCCACATCGAGGTTTATCACTTGGTGTGTGACCTTGAACAAGTTTCATAACCTTTCTGGGCTTCAGTTGTCTTATTTACAAAAAGAGGGTGATAATAGTCCTTTGCTCATAGGGTTTTTGACCTTGCAGAACGTCTCAGATGCAGTGAGCGCTCACTAAATGCCGCCTCTCTGCCTTGTTATTAATATTTAATGTTAAAATATTAGAAACCATGCCAAAACATGTGACCTGAAGTGCCACATACAAATTTCACAGTTCAGCGACACTGTCCATTTAGATCAGTTCTACGTTGGCATTAGAAAAATTGTCTTTCCTGACCGAAGTACTGTTGATTACGCGCGTCTCACTCATTTCCTCCCTCTCCCTTTGATAGGCATGTCCATGAAATCCAGTCTCACATGGGACGCCTGGAGACGGCAGACAAGCAGTCTCTGCACTGTGAGTAATTAACTACGGAGACCAGAGTCCTGTCTCTGATGACACGCTGCTAATGGGCTGGGTTTCCTGACTGTGTTTCTGCCTCAGGGGCTGAAGGAGTCAGCGTGGAATGAGTTCTGTTGTGAGAGTGGACAGAGAAACCCTATGGCAAAGTCACTGGTTTCCCTGACCGTGCCCTCTGGAATCCCACAAGTCTTATCCCCCATTACCCCTCCACTCAACCTGACAGGGCCCAATGGAATGGGAGTACTTGCCTCCATCTGTCTTAATCTAATTACCCTGTCCGTAGAGGAATGTGGTCCATAAAGATTCAGAGATGTTTAACTGGAACTGGGCATTTCTTCTTGAGCTGAGAATTCTGCAGCTTTCCAGGAGGATTATTCAGAAACGAAGGGCAATATTAATTAGTTTAGTTCCCACACCATGATTTCTTTTGAGAAGAGTGCTGCTATTTGTGTTTTAGTTTCTTTTCTATTATGAGAAAAGATCCTGAAACTTCCCTGGTGGTCCCTTGGTTAAGACGCCATGTTTCCAACACAGGGGGGTACTGGTTCGACCCCTGTTCAGGGAACTAAGATCCCACCTGCCGATGTGGCATGGCCAAAAGAAAAAGAAAAAGAAAAGGTGCTTTTTCTGAGTCCATCACACAGACACTGCTTGTCCCCCTCCCACCACTGACGCTGTCTCCTCCTGTCACTCCTTGGCTGGCACTGGGCCCATTCTCCTGTTTTCTCAGGTCTGCTTTCTGCTGCTCCCAAGCGCCTCTTCTCCCGGTCCTGTGCCCCGCCTTGTTCTGAGCTGTGTTTGTTAGCTCTGGGCTCCCCTGAGGAGGTGACACCTCTGTCGCTACTGTCGTTTCCTTATTGGACACGAGGCAGTCTGGATGCCTTCTTCTGTGCACAGTTTAGCCTCTGACCATCGACTTTGTTTGGCTTTTCGGCGATCTCATTGGTACATGAGTAGAAATGGAAAAGAGGTCATTTTGACTGTTTAGCAAAGGAGCTAAGGAAAGTGACTGTATTTATCATGTTATTACCTCTCTGGATTCTTTCCTGGACCTTCCCTGTTGGTATTTTGTCTATTCTGGTGACTCCAGCATCAGCCTACCTATTTTTTTTTTTCCCAGCCTACCTATTCTTAAGGGAATGCTTCTCTTTGTTTCACATACTAATCTTTCCCTGTGTGCTTTTTTTTTAAACCTCATTATTTTCTGTAGAGGGTTCATTTGGCAGTCTTTTTACTAGATATTTATAACCCATATCTGAGGATAACCTCAAAGGAAAAGAGGCCTCATTTTATATCATAAAATACTACATTTTGCTGAAAATATTTATTTGGACAACCTTTTTTTTGTTTTGTTTTTGTTTTTTTTTTGGACAATCTTTGAATGTTCATTTTATTTTCAAAGACAGGAAGTTTATTTTTTTTTTCCATTTATTTTTATTCGTTGGAGGCTAATTACTTTACAATATTGTAGTGGTTTTTGCCATACATTGACATGAATCAGCCATGGATTTACATGTGTTCCCCATCCCGATCCCCCCCCCAGGAAATTTATTTCTATAGATTTATCTTTAGGTTTTTTTTTTTTAATAGCATTGTTATGGCATTAACAGCTATATACATATGTATACATATGTATATATGTATGCATATATATATATAAACATTTAGAAAGTCACTTAGTATAATTTGAATTTTTTTCTGTTCTCATCAGTGCATTTTTCTTCTTTTGTAGTACATATTTTTTAATTTATCGGATATAGACAAAAGACATGTTTGATTTACCATTCTAATTTAAGTTCACTATCTCTTTTCCAGTAACTATTCTTTTTTCTCTTTTGTGCAGTAGTAGAAAATGAAATCCAAGCAAGCATAGACCAGATATTCAGCCAACTAGAGCGTCTGGAGATTTTGTCCAGCAAGGAGCCCCCCCACAAAAGACAGAATGCCAAACTGTGAGTGCTCTGACCCTGCCAGGCCTTGCTCCCAGAGAGGTCATTAAATATTCTGAAAATCCATTTACACCTTGAAAAACTGAGACTATGCAAAGATAAAGTCCTGTAAAGACCACAATTCTATTTGCGTGATTCTTCCTCAGAATCAAAAGCCTGTGTTGTACACCACAGGAAATATAGCCAATATTTTATAGTAACTATAAATGGATTATAACCTTTAAAACTTGTGAATCACGATATTGTATACCTGTAACTTATGTAATATTGTACATCACCTCTACTTCAGTTAAAAAAAAGAATAAAAAGCCTGTGAGGTTAGTGGCTCAGAAGCCTGGTATCTCCTTTCCTTATTGGTATCATTTTGAAATTTTGCCCCCAGTACTGTTTTTCTGACCAGACCCATGGCCACTTGAAACCTAATGCCACCAGGGAGTGTCACTCTGTTTTTTGATTCCCACTTCATTCTTGGGTTGAATTATCTTGCTCTTAATCACTCCAGTCAATGTGTTTGTAATGAAATACTGATCTAATGTTTGATACACCCCCATGAAATTAAAGCAAAACCACTCTTACCACCTCCACCCCAGCCTCTGTTTCCAAAACGTTTATGAAACTTCATTGATGCTGTACTCCACAGATGCCTTGGGCTTCTTCCAGGAGAGCAACATAATCCCTGGAAGGTCAGGAAGAGGTCATCGAACCTGCTTCCTGTCACCTGTTCCCTCTCATGCATCCAGAATCAGAGACCAGCAGATAGTTAAGGAAAGCTGCTGGAATCTCATTTGCTACTATCCTGCTCTAATTACAGGCTCCCTTTTTACTTTCAATACCATTGATCAAATCAGATCATTTGGGGTGGGGGGTGGATAGCATGGAGGGGTACAGGGGGAGTAAGGAATTGTCTTCTTCCCTGAAGACGAAGTCCAGCCGCCGCCAGTCGTGCTGCTCGGGACTCCTGGAATTTAATCTCTCTGTCAATTCCAGCCGTGTCGACCAGTTAAAGTACGACGTCCAGCACCTGCAGACTGCTCTTCAAAACTTCCAGCACCGGCGGTATGCACGCGAGCAGCAGGAGAGACAGCGAGAGGAGCTTCTGTCTCGCACCTTCACCACGAACGTAAGCCCGGTGCCTGGGCGGGATTGGCAGGGACTGGGCGGCTGGTCAGAGCTGGAGCTCAGGACTCTGACAGGAGCCCCCTGCGGGGTACTGAAGCAGACCGATGGGACGGGAGGAGAGAACTGGAAGTGATGGCTGACTGCGTTACAGAGACTAGACCTAAACACCACTTGCATCTCTTTTTCTGTCACAAAAACCCTCAGAGGCAGTAGTTAATTTGAGGGAACAGGCAGAGGTGAAAATTACCTGGTTTGACTGGTGGATGCAGAGAAGTGGACTTTCCCATGGTGGAAACATTTTCCTGATCAGATCAAGAAGGATAACTTAGACTATTTGTAGCGAGGGCAGCATTTCAAAGCTGCCTTCAGGCAGTTACCTCTGTGTGTGTGTGTGCATGCGCATGTGTGAAGTTCCAGTGTTGGATGTGTTAAAATGTTTTTTCATGTGTGTGCGTGTGTGCATGCATGCAGTTCCAGTGTTTAATGCATTAAAATGCTTTTGCCTCTAGTCTAAGCAGCAGTTAAGAGGGATTTGTTAACAGGTATTTCGTTTTAAAGGGACTACTTGACTTGAGCCCATTTGAAAGTTGCTTGTTGGTTTGCATGTTTGATTTCCTCGGATACCCATGTCCCTGTCCTTTGGTCTCAATGGGATCATTTCTCACACATGGCTGTAGAACATTACTGGCTTTTCCTGTGTCCTGCATAATGTATTCCACCAAATAAGGTGGGTCTCGGGGGCTTTTTGGTTGGTTGGTTTTTTGTTTTCTTACAGAGGTTCATTTTCTAAAGTAGGCTTACGCTTTCTAAGCCCAGCCTCAGAATTCAAATCAGTTCCCACTTTGCAGATGTTGAACCCTCTTTGCTGTGTCCACATGTGCAGTAAATTTCCCCAGGTGCTTCAGAATATGCCTACATAGTTTGGTTTCTCTGATGTAAGCAGTCAAGTAGTAATGATTAACAATTCAAGAGGTCAACGAACATGTGTTGGTCAGTAAGCAGAGCCTCTTTTCAAAAGAGTAGGGAGCTATATGACATACTTAAGGTGTTGTGTGGGCTTTTGATAGCTGTGGCATTGGTTATAGGGCTTTTTTAGGCCAGGGATGATGGCTCCGAATTATTTTACATCTTACCAGCCTAGTGTGATGCTGTGCGTACAGTGGGCCCTTAATAAAAATTATCTGGCTGAATGAACTTCCTGGTCTTTTTATGATCATGAGCTATAGTACATTTTTCTGAGAGATAACAGCCCATCAGCTGTACCCAAACACTGGCATCTTCACCCACCAAACATCAGCTTGTGCAGGATGCTATTTAAGGTGCTGAAAGTAAAGTGTGTTTAAACTAAAAACCTTGACTCCTACTCCTGAGAAACTCCCATGTTAGCGGGGGCCGGGGGCGGGGGGGGGGGGGTTGAAAATATATACCTGAAAAATGATTGTGAACTTGAGCAGCAGAGAAAAGGTGGTTTAACTTCTTCATGATGACAGAAAGTGGTAAAAGTGGTCCTGCTTGGCAGAAGGGTTTGTAACGGTCAGGGAACTGGAAAGAGGACAGGGCAGTGACTGGTCATGCCGTGCATCCATGTCCTTCCCACTGCAGGGTGAAGGTGGAGCGCTGGGATCGGTTTTGATGTTTCTCCCTATGGGACAGTTAAGAGGGCGGGCTCTGCACCCAGCACGGGGATTTGTGCCCCTCTGGACGTCTCACTGGCGGGGTCTTAGACAAGTCATTCCACCTCTCTGGGCTTCTGTTTCTTCATCTAAAACGAGGATAATACCATAACTACAGCATAAGGTTAGAGTGGGGCCTGAGCGAGCTTAGAATGAAGAGTTTGCAAAGTGGAAAGCATTGATCAGTATTAGTTCTTTCCTCCCTTGATTTTTTTACAGACTTTTCTTCTCTGCCCAGGTGGATAGTCCCGTTGTGAACACTGTTGGGCCTTTAATAGAAACCAGTCTCTGCTCTCTGTAGTCAGTCTGTCTAATCGGAGGGAGGAATAAACCATAATGAAATAGCCAAAGGACAAAAGCAAACCTTCCCCACTGCACCAAGGGGAAGCCAGGTAAAGGAACATTTGGAAGAAGTTAGGTTAGTAAGGAATTAGAGACAACCTTTAGGAGAAACCCAGTGAGAATAGTGTTTCCAGGACTTCCCTGGAGGTCCAGTGGTTAAGACTTCGCCTTCCAGTGCAGCGGGAGTGAGTTCAAGCCCTCATTGGGGAGCTAAGATCCTGCATGCCAAAAAACCGAAGCATGAAACAGAAGCAATATTGTAACAAATTCAGTAAAAGACTTTAAAAATGGTCCACGTCAAAAAGTAAAATAAAAAAATTTTTCCTGAGTTGGGGGAGTGATGCAGAGGAGGCAGGGATGAGCAGATTTGTGTGGTGGAACCCACTTGGAGACTGAGAAGTCTGAGAATTGCACTTCCTCTGAGTGGACAGAGGCCGCCCCAGATCTCTGCTTTGCTTTTTAGTCTCCTTCAGGTTCCTTTGATTCTTGCACCATTTCCTCTGGCAGTTCTTCCGGCTTGACCTTGACCAAGAGACAGAGTGGTCAGTTGAGGTGGGGACACCAGGAGCTGAGCAGCAGCAAAGTTAATCAAGTGCCTGCGTTTCTTTCACAGGACTCTGACACCACCATACCAATGGATGAATCACTGCAGTTTAACTCCTCCCTCCAGAAAATTCACCACGGCATGGATGACCTCATTGGAGGCGGGCACAATATTCTGGCGGGACTGAGGGCCCAGAGACTGACTTTGAAGGTGGGGGCCCTTTTGCGGGGACAGGGAGAAGGCCTTGTGTTTTGACTTTAGCCAGCAGTGTGAGACCCGCGTTTAACTTTTGGTCACGTAGCCCTGAACTGTGATGCTGTGATGGTGAGACAGAGCCTTTGAGTTTGGGATCCTTTTTGCTGGAAGTGGATTATTGAGTCCAAAAGTAGCCGAATTCCCTTTGCCAATAGGTATTTATTGTGTTTACAGTGAACCATAATGTGGCATCTCTCAGTATCCAGGTGTTTTTTCATTTCCTGGACTGAACAGAAAGTGACTGCCTCTGTGAGAGGAAGCAGTAATGGGCCAAGGAATTCTGTGATAGAGTTCGCTCTCGGAAGAAGGACGACACGCTTTACTTGGCATCTCACTCACTCTTGGGTGTGTTCCGTGTGGCCCCTGTGGTGGGCAGTCTTAGAGCCAAGACCTCTGTCCTGCAGCAGCTGAAGCCCCCCAAGGGAGGGTCCTAGGGCTGCCAGGGTTGGTTGACAGGGGCTTCTGGAGCACAGGCTAGTGACCCCTGTGACTGCTGCATTCTCTCTTTAGTAACAGGTATTCCTAGAAACCCTGCCCCACTGGCTGAGACTCAGACCCCTAGGGAGTGGTTTACAGAAACATTACACAGCCTCTGATGTCAGTCATGATGTTTCAGCCTCAGCCCTTTTCCTGTATCAACCCTGATGGATAATGGGGTGTGAACTGTGCCTCTTATCAGGGTGTGGTCCCTTGTGCGCGGAGCCCTCCCAGCCCCTGAGCTGTGAGAAGCAGTCACTCGGAAGTGTGAGCTTTATCTTAGTTTTTCTTGGACCGTGTTGAGCCTGTCAGCTCTGCAGGACTTCAGTATGTTTCTGAGCATCGCCTACCACCTTTACCTGGGAGGGGGTCAGGCAGGCCTCGAGTGACACTTATCTTGCTGACGGCTGCAGTGCTTCAGACAGTCTGGAAGCGTGGTCTCACAGCTCCACGGGCGCCCCCGTTCAGGACAGCCACCTGCAGTCCTCTGAACTGATGTGTATGTGTGTGGTTGCTCAGTCGTGTCTGACTCTTTGTGACCCCATGAACTGTAGCCCACCAGTCTTCTCTGTTCACAGTTTTTTTTCAGGCAAGAATACCGGAGTGGGTTGTCATTTCCTTATTTCCTCCTCCAGGGGATCTTCCCGACCCAGGGATCAAACCCGCATCTCCTCTGTCTCCTGTATTGCACGCGGATTCTTCACCCGCTGCGCCATCAGGGAACCCCAGTCTAAACTAATACAAGAGGGTTAATCCTCCCTTTCTTTAGAAAGCTGCTGGCTTCCTCCCCATATCTCAGAAAAATAGTCAAACTCTTTATAGGATGAGACTCATAGTGTCAACACTCAACATCGACCCGGTAGGGCTCAGAGCTTATTGTTATAGCAAATGTCAGCTTCCTGCTGAAGTCTGGTGTCACTGAAGAGCCCCTGCAACTTCTGCCCTAACACTGTCCCCAGAGATAAAGTGCTGGGAAGCCTGGTAGGTGGGCAGTCAGGGGTAGGAGTGTGAGGTTTGTCATCCGTTTCCTCTACACATCTACTGTACTGATTCCTTCTACCTGCCCCACTTCTGTCAGGCAAGCTTCTGCCTAAACCATTTGAAAAGAACATAGGAGGAAGTGTGAAGGAGCCGGGCCTTGATTTGGGGAAATTTGTGGTAGAAAATGAGTAGTGTTTTTGAAATGTATGTTAACTTTCCAGTGATTTTTGAATTTGATATTTGAATTTTGTAGAGTGACGGAATAATATCTTCTTTCATAGCCAAGCAGAGTCTTGAGTGAGAGTCTAATGCTGATCATCACTGTTGTGGTGAAACATGTCTCTGATCTCCTCTGGCAGAGATGATATTTGACCTGAGAGACTTTCCTCTCAGTTGCCTGTTACTGTGTTCACTTAAGAAGTAGATGCGGGACCTTAGGTTAAATGCCTCCATACAAATACAGTGGGTGATGTGTAAGTAAGTTGAGATCTGCCCAGCATCCATCTATTACTTCATATGAAATTGAATATGCTTAAAAATGAAAATTAGATAGCAGGGAGGAAGGGCGGCCTGGGTGGTATGGATTGTTGGTTTAGGAATAAAATACTCTTTTGTTTTGGGTGGTGGGTGGTGACATTTATATATGGGGCTTTAGGTCGTCGTGGTGGTGTCTGGCAGCTGTGTTTCTCTGGTTCCGTCTTGCCTGCCTCTGACCCTCTCATGAATGTGGATGTAAGCTCTGCTTAGCAGACTTCCTGAGGTGTCTACTGCACAGCGAGCACAGACTGATGGCAGGTTTAGAGCCAGGGAGCAGAGAAGAAGTTTCTTTGATATTGCCTTTTATATTCTAATGTGAAAAGTGAAAGTGTTAGTCACTCAGTCGTGTCCGACTCTTTGCAACCACATGAACTGTAGTTCACCAGGCTTCTCTGTCCATGGACAAGAATACTGGAGTGGGTTGCCATTCCCTTCTCCAGAGCATCTTCCCTGCCCTGGGATCAAACCTGGGTCTCCCATATTGCAGGCCAATTCTTTACCATCTGAGCCACCAGGGAAGCCCATTTTTTCCTTTTAAATATAAAATATTCTAATTTAGAACTTCTTTATGGAGGTATGATGTGCATACAGTGAGGTGTACAGATCTTAACTTGTACAGGTCATGGCGTTTTGACAATTGCCTACATACACCTTTGTAACTCTCCCTGCTGTCAAAACATAGACCGTTTTCATCACCCCTGAAAAAGCCTTTCTGCCCTTCCGAGGTTAAGTCTGCTCCTGCCCAACCCCCCCCCCCCCCCCCCCGGGCCCCAGGCAAGCACCCTTCTTATTTCATCATAAATTACTTTTGACTGTTACTGAACTTAATGTAGATGTCCACATTACTCTTGTGTGTGTGCCTGTTACTCTCAGGAGTGTTCCAGGCTCTTTCATGTCATTGCATGGTGTCATCGGGTCCTTTTTATTGTGCAGCAGTATCTCATCATGCACAGTACATACACTGTTAATCCGTCCTCTTGTTGATATGCACCTGTATTATTTCCGGTTTGGGAATATTCTCCTGTTTTCTTCTAGAAGCTTATAGTTTTAGCTTGTATGTTTAACTTTATGATGAAATTTTTGTGTATAATATGAAGCAATGGTCATTTTTTAACACATGTTCTTGTGCATTATACATACGGACATATACATATGAAGTAAAGTGTTAGTCGCTCATTCGTGCCCGACTCTTTGCAACCCCATGGACTGCAGCCCATCTGGCTCCTCTGTCCATGGGATTTTTCCAGGCAAAGATACTGGGGTGGGTTGCCATCTCCTTCTCCAGGGGATCCTCCCTACCCAGGGATTGAACCTGGGTCTCCTGCACTGCAGGCAGATTCTTTACCAACTGAGCTACATGGGAAGCCCACATTTGTGTATAAGTGTGTATATGTGCTCTGTGCACAAGATGCCCGTTATCCAGCCATTTGTTCCAGCGTGTTTGTGGGAAAGACTTCCCTGTCCCCCTTTCTTTGCTCTGCGACCTTGATTGAAGGAGCCTGATCTGCGTCTGGTTGCTGCTGCTTGTATGCTTTAGGTGTGACCCAGAGACTGTTGGTCCATCGCACCTCATGCTGACGTTCACCCACCCTTGGCACAAGGATGTGATCATGGTTTTTCGTTCTCCTCTTGTCTGCCCCAGGGGACCCAGAAGAAGATCCTTGACATCGCCACCATGCTCGGCCTGTCCAACACGGTGATGCGGCTCATCGAGAAGCGGGCCTTCCAGGACAAGTACTTCATGATCGCTGGGATGCTGCTCACCTGTGTGGTCATGTTCCTCGTGGTGCAGTACCTGACCTGAGCCAGCCAGGCCCCGCGGCTGAACGCCGGTCCCAGGGCGTGAGAGTGCGTGAGTGTGTGTGCGCAAATGAAGGGGGGCCCAGGGGCTGCCCTCTGAAATGTGTGTGCCCGTCTTAACTGTGAAGACCCCTCGGAAGTCATTGTGACCTGTGACCTGGCGGGAATTTCAGACCTCTGTTTCTTGTGACATCTTGGAGGGAAACCTCATGCTGCCGAGATGCGCAATGCTTAGGAAATGAAGGAAGTACCTGTTCTCTTGCTCACACTCGCTCTCACTGGGGGAAGGAAGTGAAGCCAGGGTGAGGGAGGAGGAGGAAAAGGGGAGGAAGAGAGTGGCCTTGGCGATTTTGTCCTCATAGCTGATATGTGCCTGGAAAGCTATTCAAGCTTGCAGACAAGACTCCACACTCTGTCATCCTCCAGCCTTTCTGACTCCATGTAGGTAGTCTGGAACAGAAGCAGACAGGAGGGGGAAAGGGGCCTTCTTTTTCTGCACTCACTATAGTAGGTGGATTCATACACTCTTGCTACCAGCCACTGTGCCCACCTCACCCCCCCCCCCCCACCCCAAAATGATTTGCAGATGGCTGAATGCTAATACTTGTCATCCTTACTGGGAAGCTGCCACCTAGAGGAAACAGAGGCATGAGCACTGTTGCTGACAGCAAGTAAGATTTTCCACATCACAGTTGCTGGGTGTTTCTCCTTTATAAAGTAAGGCCACTGTTACTCCCTGGTCTGTCTTGAAACTGAAGACCCTAGTCACCGATTTGTTTGCAGCAGTCAGTAAAACAGTTGACTTTTAAGACTGGAGCCTGGGCCTTTGCCCCTTAGAAAGTAGCTGTGAGCAGAGGTTAGTGATTGGTCTATTACAGTCTCATCTCAAGTTTTAACATCTCTAATTAATAATAGACTGTTTTCCCTTTCCTGAAATATATTAGCAGCTGCCAGTTAAGCCCCCATTCTGTCCAGCCAGTGAGGGCAGATGCTACCCTAGGGATGCCCCTGGTGTGTATGTCCTTGTAAGACTCTCTTTTCAGGGACCAGCACTTTTTTTCCTTCTCTGACCAACCCTGGATTAAGGCTGTACCAATACCCAACATGTTGCAAAATTTATTGTAAAGCCAATCTGTTCAAAGAGAGTAATCAGTGAAAGTACCAGAAAGACCTGGTTAGCATATTTTTTCATCTATCACAGGCCCTCCCAGCCATAGGCCCAGTAGGGCAAGACAGAAATAAAACAGAATTTCCCAGAGGAACTATGAACCCTGTCGGTATCAGCCCCACCTTTGAACATCTTGCCCTGGCCACTTCCTGTCTTGGTTGCTTGTCATTTGGACTGTCTTCTGTCACCTCCCCCTTTTCTATGTGTTCCTGTCCACCTCCCTTTTCTACCCTCCCCCTCTGTCTGTAGCAGTATTGTCTTTTCAGGTACTTCTGTGGCATAGATCCCCTTTGGGGAAAGGTTTAATTGTCACAGATTTTTAAATTGAGTTTTTCCAGGTACTGATTTCACACTTTTGGTTGGATCTCCATTGCTCTTGCTCGTCTGGGCTAAACAGGAGCCCTGGGTTTCTGAGGAAAGGGGACTCTGATCCCTTCATAAAAGTTTGAGGGCCCTACCAGAGTGAAGACTGGCCTGGTGGATAGACAGAGGGGGAATGCATCTTCTGACCTACCTATGACTTGGGGAGGCCCAGTTTGAAATATCCCTCACAGCAGCACCCCTGTCATCCCAGGGACCCAGCACAGGCTTCTTATCAGTCCACAAAATGGGTTTTTAAACTACACAGACTCGGCTGAGCCTGGGCACCCGAGGACCCCGCCAGGCAGTGCATTTTGGAAGATGTGCAAGGAGCAACTGAGCCATTTGTACTTGAACTCAGAGGAGGCAGAAACTCCCCTACCCTCTGCCTCTGGTGGCTGACGTGACATCTGTTTGCAGTGTATGCTGGTGTATTTCCACGCTTGGCCTTCACAAGTGATTGCTGGCCTCGATGAACCAGAAGTAAGGTCTGCACCTTCAGTGCCGTTCTTCCTGCTTTGTAATAAAAATGGAGACAGTTGTGGGTCTTCACCACCTGCGGGGTGAGGAACAGCAGCCACCGGATGGCGTTAAGTCCTGGGGCACTGAGACCTCGTGTCCTCCTGGGCTTGGCTTTCAGTGATCTGGGAGAAACACACTTGCGCCCTAACTGGGTGCTCTGTCTCTACAGTCCTGAGTGCAGGGAAGGGTCCCAGAGCAGGGAAGGAGCGCCCTCTAGTGGAGATGGGGTGAATTCTTAACATACGCTCCAGCAGCAGCCTCTGGGATCTTGAAAAGAATTTTGGTGTTCCTGTTGTGGTTTAAGAGAGGTGGGTTGTCCAGAAACTTGGAAATAGCTTCATTCCATGGATGTTTACTCCAGGTGTGATCATCTTAAGAAAAGCCAAACTCCAAGACCAAGTAAGTAGGAGAGTCTTGATTTTATAGAAGGCTTCACTGCTGGGTTTTCTCTTAAGACCTTTGCCCTGATGAGTTTAAATGGGTTTGATTTGCAAATTTGGCTTTTACGCTCCTTGTTTTTGAAACACCTCAATTGAATAAAGTTGCCATTTATTTTATTTAGAAAATGACATTTTGTAAAGGAGTTTGACATTCATCTTTATAACTAATGGCCCTTTTTTTCTCTCAAGCCAGAGATTCTGAAACACTGTTCTGAGACCAGGTTTGGGGTTGGTTGCCTTAGCAGCAGCTGGGAAACTTTTTAAAAATTACAGATTACTCTGGCCTACCTTGGATCTTCTGAATTAGAATATTTTTTATCTCTAAAGTTATTCTGATGTGTGTCTTAAAAGCTTTTCTCTTAAAGACTAGAGCATTTGAAAACTTGCTGAACTAACTCAGCATATATGAATGAAAAGCAAACTTACCAGGTTCAAAATAAAGTCTTAATTTGTTTCCATCTTATTCCAGGAAAGATTTAAGGAGACCTAGAGAAAATAACTAAGTAAATAAAGAAGTGAACACTAGGAACAGGTTAGCAGAATGTTAGTGCCAAGAAAAAGACACTCAGATGCAAGTTGTGAAGCCCCACAGGAAGGCTCTGAGGGATGCCTGACTTGGCCTGGAGGCCCAGGAGGCACAGCGAAGAGAGAAGCATGACACGTTATAGTCTGTTGGGGGTAGGGTGTTATATTTGCTCAGAGGAGGGCCTAGGCCTTGACAACTGCTCACTTCCTGTGGCCCTTACTAGAAGTCAGACATGGTTGGTTTCTGGGTCACCTCTGTAATCGTCACAAACCTTCCCAGTTAGGTTGAGAGTCTTTCCCTTTGTGCAGATCAGGAGGCTGAGCTTCAGTGAATTTAACAAAGCCCCACAAGGAGTCCTGGAGGAACCGGCTGCTTTGACTTCATAGCCCAAGCACATAACCATGGAACCCACCTGCCTGCCTCCCATGCTCGGGACATGATGCAGGAGACTGGGGCAGCCTGGATAAAGAGCTGTAGCACGTTTGGTGCATCTTACATGGCAGGTTCTCTGCTCTGAAATATTTTCCTAATTTAGTGGGCAGGGGTGGAGAATTTGAGGAGGACCTCCTGGAAGTGGTGAATGGGAGCTGTACTCAATCTTTCCACTAGGGGGCGACATAAGCCGTTCAGGCTGGTCTGCCCAGCACTCCACTCTGCCTTAGGCCTGGTGCACTTGGAAGAGGAGGAATCTTCTTCAGATTTAGTTTGTTTCCTTATAGAAATTCCTGCTGAGTAGCAGCTTGTCCCTTGTTGCTCTCAGGGTATGGCCAGCAATGCCTTCTGAAATCCCAGTGCATTCTAATTTCTAGGTCTTCCCTCACTTTTATGTCTCAGAGCACATGGGTGTGTTGCAGTCGTGGCAAATGCTCCCCAGTGTGGTGTCAGTTCCTCCCCCTCTCGCTGTGTCTGTTCATGTCATGCAGCACGTGGGAGCCGAGGGAAGGGGGGGTGGCAGAGGATTCTGCAGTCCTTGGCCCTCAGGTGCCGTCGGTAACCCCCCCGCCATAGAACCTCCAGTGTGTGCAGGCCCTCCCTGCCTCATCCCACAGCCCACTGGCAGGGGCCTCAACGTTGGCTTATATCCGGATCCTTTCCAGAGCTTTTAAACGCATCATTGTGGGTCTTACCCCAATCCATTATTATTTAACTGGCTTGGGTTGTAGCCTGGATATGGGGAATTTGAATGGTTGCCAATGTAGGAGACTTGGGTTCGATCCCTGGGTTGGGAAGATCCCCTGACGGAGGACATGGCAACCGACTCCAGTGTTCTTGCCTGGAAAATCCCATGGACAGAGGAGCCTGGCAGGCTATGTTCCATGGGATCTGAGAGATCTTGTTAGTGACTAACACCAACAGCAACATCCATCAGCCCGTGACCATCAGAGGCAGTGAGGGAGAGCTGCTGGGAGGGCTGCCTGTTCGGCTCACATCAGCTCAGGGCCCATCTGAGAAGTGGTTGCTGCTCCGAGGCTCAGGAAGCCTGCATGGAGCTGAATCCTGGGTGGGCAGTTGCTTGGTGTGGGCTGTGCCTAAGGAAGGCGCTGCCACCCCTCTTCCGCCTTCCAACCCAAGGCTATGGCCCCATATTCTTTCACCTAAGACAGCTTGGGTAGATCCTCTGACTCCACTCCCCTCCTGGCACCTGCTGGCAGGGTTTTTTTTTTTTTTTTTGCATGCAGTTTAAACTTATGAGTTGTTTATTTCTGGAATTTTTCCATTTAATGTTTTTAGACTGAGGTTGAACAGAGGTAATTGAAACCATGGAAGGTGGAACTGTGGATAAGGGGGGGACTTCTGAATAGAATTTTCGTAAGTTCTGTGACTCATACCAGCCAACCTGGACAAAAGTGCCAGTATCCTGGGTATTCCATTGCAACTGGCATCTGAGGTGGGGAGCAGGCCTGTAAGATGGGGCCCTTAACCTGTGGGGTCCGATGTTAAATCCGGAAGTTAGTGTCAGAATTGAACTGAAATGTTGGACACCCAGT